AGTCTTAAGGCCTTTGAGGAGAGCATAGGCTTCAGCCGAGTGGGAATCAAAATGCCAAATTGGTTTGGAGTAGGATGCAAGGATTGTGCTTTTGTGGTTCCTGAATAGACCACCTATACCAGTCAGCCCTGGGTTGCTTAAGGAGCAACCATCAAAGTTAAGCTTGATGAAATCAAGGTTGGGTGGCATCCACAGTGAGGCGTGAGGCACTCGAGGGCAGGAAAGGTGGAGCAAGGGCAGCCAATCGAGGTGGAAGGCCAAAAGATGAATACCCTTGAACAGCTTGTGGTTCGAGGCCCAAAAAACTAATGGAAGTTTTGGTCTTATCGAACAAAACAGCAGTTGAAGAGCATTGTCCTCGGAAAATTATGTGATTGTGCTCATTCCACGCTGTCCAGAAGAGTGCAAATATGGATGCCTTCCAGAGGAGGATACCTGTTTAGACCAGGAATAAGGGTGAAGAGAAGAAAAGAGTAACCCATTGCCAATGGAAAAGGCATAGAAGGTAGCTCCATTGGAGGAAGGCAACCGGGCGATGAATGAATAAATGTTCATTGGTTTCCTCAGACACATGATACAATGGTTAGGTATGGATAAACCTCTCCTTCGCAATTGGTCGATAGTGACCCTTTGGTGGAGGGCGATCCAATTGGAAACTTGGATCTTGGGAGGAACAAGAGAGAACTAAGCCTTGGCAGTAGCAAAGATAGGATTCAAGGGAAATGTGGTAGGTTGGAGGAATTTTTGGTAGAATGAGGAGACTAGTTGATGGAAGGCAGACCCTTTGGTGGAGGGTGATCCAATTGATTTAGAGACATAGTTGATACCCTGTAGGTCATTCAAGAAGCTGGTTTTCTTATCCTTACGTTCAATATAACCGGCTATCTCAACCTTTCGTTTCTACAGTTTGTCTATAGTTTTGTTTTCCTTCATTCCTTAGTGCTATGTTCCTTTTTATGCTTTCGCTTTTCAGTATCCATTGTCATATGGAAATCAGATTTGGTCAAAGCATCCAATCCTGTACGATGTGTCATATGATAACTTTATGTCAAGAACCCTAATTATATATTGCTTCCTAGGATCATGTGGATTAGCCTCATAGTTATAAAGCTTTTCTGACTAAGGTTTATTTTTGCAATTGTTTGAAAAAAAACAAAGGAAAGGATGGGGTAGGCCCAAAGGTCCCAAAGACAAAAGACAACTTCTACTAAATTGCCCATATAAATCTGAAATATACTTACAATACAAATTACAAGCCCTCACATTCTCTAGGAAAAACCCTAAAACCCCCAATGGATACAACAACCTCTATTTCCTCTCTTACTTCACCTTTTCCCCTCTTACCTTCATACACAAAATGGGCCATGGGTATATATAGACGCCTATGGTTGTTTCTAGACCTTTTCTAGACTCTACACAATGAGTTATGATGGATTTTTCTAGAGCTCTAAAGAACCATACGAATTTTCCAAGAAGGTGCCTTTTCAACTTCCACTCTATCCTAGAAGCTTCTACCCATATTACAAGTCTCCCTTCTACTAGAGCCTTCTACTAAATGATTACAAAATTGACCCTAATACAAAATTACAAAAATATCCTCGAATAGCACAACAATTTTCAACACTCCCCCTTTGCGCTAGATTGAGGAATAACACCAAGTTTAACCTTGAAGCTTTTGAATTTGTCTCTTGGTAGTGCCGTTTTAAAAATATCTGGGAGTTGATCTTGAGTATCAACCTTCACAAGGTCGATCTTTCCATCTAACACCTTCTTTAGATGAAATGATATTGCACTTCTATGTGCTTGGTCTGAGCTTGAAACATACAGTTAGATGCAATTAAAATCGCACTTTGATTATCACATTCCAACCTTAATGCATGATTGTTTGGATGGGCCCAATCTTCAATAAGTCATATTACCCAAATGATTTCTTGTGCTGGCATTGTTGCAGCTTCTGTGCTTGATAAGCACCATGGTGTTTTGCTTCTTTTGCACCAAGATATGGCACCTGAACTTGTGTTAAATACATTTCCTGAAATTGATCTTCTAGTAGTTGGCAACCGGCCCAATCCATATCAATATATCCCAAACTTTCAAACCTGCCACATGCCTTGTACCACAATCCAAAGTCACTAGTACCCTTAACATATCGAAGAATTCTTCTTATGCTTCTGGGTGGGGTAATTGCATAAATTCGCTTACAATCCCAACCAATGAATGAAAGTTCGGCTGCCTTGCTGCCTGGGAGGCCTGGCTGACAAACCACCTACGTGATGGAGTATGGGCGGGCATGCCTAAGGCGGGCATGCCCAAGGCAGGCGCCTAGGCGGTCTGAGCGCCCACCTAGTGCCATCCCCTAAAAAAATAAAAATAAAAAAATTCAAATCCACCCAAACAAAATAAGGCTTGGTATTGCCCTTCTCTCTCTCTCTCTCTCTCTCTCTCTCTCTCTCTCTCTCTCTTGCAGCTTCATGTGCTCTCTCTTCATATGAGAAGAAGAAGAAGAAGATAGACTCCAAGTGTTCAATGCGCGGCGTCTCTCTCTCTCACACACACAAAGATACACATGGGCCCATATGCTCCCTCCTTGCATGTAAGGAGGAAAAGAAGAAAATGACCTCCAAGTGTTCGATGCGAGGTCCCTATCTCACAATCTCTCTCTCTCTCTCACACACACACACACACAAATACAGATCCAAAAGAAAAAAAGAAAAAAAGAGAATGATCTTTAAGAATTTGATGCGAGACCTCACTCACACACATACGTGCGCATGCACATACACTCACAAAACAACATATGGCCCCCACCCCAATATATGGCCCCCACCCCAACCCCCTCCCCTTAGGGCTGCCCAGGAATCTGGGCGCCCTGCCTAAGCGGCCCAGACCCCTGGCCGTCTAAGCTGCCTCGTCTGCCTTCTTGAACATTATTCCCCACAGCATAAGAGATATTTGGCTTGGAAAGTGTTAGTTAAACAAGACTACCCCACGATCCTTCTATACATTGCAACTTCTGGAAGCAAGTATCCAACATCAGCCCTCAACTTATGATTTTATTTTAAGGTAGTTGCTATGGGTTTGAAATTTTCCATACCAAATCTCTTCTATGGGTTTCAGACTTAGGAACAAACCTTTATTACTTCTCTTGATTTAATTGTCACAAGGAAATAAGAAACCTCCCCCATATCCCTCATCTCAAATCGAATAGAAAGTTCGTCATGCACCCTTTCAAGTTCTTCGACATCGTCACTTGTGACAATTAAATCATACATGTACAACAATATAATGGGAATTTTCTTGTTTAGCACTTTAACAAACTTGAGTCAGCATTTGACGCTTTATAACCACAAAATACAAGATATGCAAAGATTTTTCCCTTCCAAGCCAATGATGCATATTTTAAACCATATAGAGCATTCTTTAATTTACACATACTCAGGATGGTTCTTAGACTCAAATCTTGGGGGTTGCATCATGTAAGTATCCTGATCTACTTCGCCATAGAGAAATGCATTCTTCACATCCATTTGCCACAACTTCCATTCTTTATTTACAGCTAGTGGAAAAATGGTTCTTAGCGTAGTCATCTTTGCAACCGGACTAAAAGCCTCCTCATAATCTAATACATTTTGAGAAAACCCCTAAACCACAACTCTTGATTTGTATCAATCAATTGTAAACCCGTTTTCAAGTAATGGGAGCTACATCTTTTGGGCATGGGACTACTTCCCAAGTGTCATTATTGGCCAAAGCAGTCATTTCCTCATTCGTGGGATTATCCCATTTAGAAGTTCTTCTTGCCACTTGATATGTGGTTGGTTCAACATCATCTAATGGACTTGCAAAGAAACAAGAAGTAACATTCACAAACCCGTTTTTAAGTAATGGGAGTTTCATCTTTTGGGCATGGGACTAATTCCCAAGTGTCATTATTGGCTAAAGCAGTCATTTCCTCATTCATGCCATTTTCCCATTTAGCAGATCTTCTAGCCTCTTGATATGTGGTTGGTTCAGTCTTGTTGACTTTCTTAGTGGCTGCAAATATTGAGCTTTGGGTGCTTCTTTTTCTTCAGTTAAATTGAATTTCCTGTTCTTCTTTAGAGTAACCTTGGTTTCCTAGAGCTCATTCTCCATGGTTTAATCTAAATCAAGACTAAGGGGCACTTGGGCGTTTCAGCTTGTCATTCATGCTCTCATCTTCTTTCACCTCACTTGAAACTTCTTCAAAGTAAGGCTGCACATGACTTGAAACGATCGCATCAAAGACAATTAATAGGTTATGTGATAGAAAATACTACTTTATCTGGAGCCTTCCACTAAATACTTACAAAGTTGCCCATAATACAAAATTACAAAAGTGCCCTCAAGTAGCACAACAATTTTCAACAGCAATGTGGAAAAGCTTTGGCATTTCCTTGGAAGTATCACGATTGGGACATGGTAATTCCTCGTGGGAGAAATATTGTCTGATATCGATAGTATTTAGGTGGATTTGGTTGTAAGGACTATTCCTAGTAGGAGGAAGAAACCTTAAAGATATCTAATTTTGTTCACAAGAAATATGAAGATTATCACTTGTTTTGGACAAGTTCACTATGCAAGGGTTCTACAATTAACTTGAAGGGAAACTGCTAGAGACATGTCTTTATCATTGTATTGCACCTACATATGATGGTACACTTCCGTATTGTAGTTATCACGTTTGTAACCACTGTCGACAACTATCCTCACTTATCAGTATGTGTAGGCTTTAAACTTCTTTATTGTAAAGCAGCACGCAAAAAATAAAAATAAAAGATAAAATAAAATAACCATTTGTCTTATGTATAAAATTGTTGCCCTTTATGTTCCTAAGTTGATTTATCTAAAGCTGTCCTTATAATTAGTCTTTGAAGTTGGCAGGTGGTCTAGCCTGGTATGCAGATGAAATCGTATCTTGGATGGTACTAATCACAGTTCTTCATTGGATGTTATTAAAGCAAAGCTTTTACCTTTTTCAGGCTATGAGTGGCATGCTAATGTTCGAACTGACGAGAATCTGATTACTCAAGACAACATGCCCCGATTTATCTTGGACTCCTATGAAGAATGCCGCGGTCCACCCCGCTTGTTCTTGTTAGACAGGTATGGTTAACATTTGATTTGATGATTCTGTTTTATGATGGGGTCTATATGTTCTATATATTTATCTATTAAGGAAAAAATGAAAGTTTAAGGAAATAAGGAAAAATAAACTAAAATCAAAACGAATATGGCCATTGCCATCATGAATGTCATATGAAATGATGGGCAATGGTTGGGAGTGTTATCCTTCAGAAAAGGACATTATGCCAATGGTAGGCCCCACCTCCTCTTGAGATGGCCTGGGGCCTTAGTGGTAGTATTGCTGAGCCCCATGGTGAGGTCTCTGACTCCATTCTCACCAAAGGGTAGGGGCCCAAATCGCCACTGACTTACCACTTTCACTCACCCAAAAAAATACCCCACCTTCTCTCCTCCACCGTCTGTCATTTAATTGGATCTTGATGATCTCACTGGACGATGGTTTTGTATAGGCCACTAGATTATATCACACCATCAAAACGGTATCTATATACTTTAGAGCATTGATTGCTTTCGAGTTTCAGATTTGATGTTGCTGGTGCTGGGACATGTTTAAAGAGATATTCAGATCCATCATTTTTCAAGACACATTTGGCCACCTCTGAAATGTTGAGAACAGAGGAAATTCCAAGAAAGAAGGCTCGTAGAACAAAGGTCTGGTTCTTTGGAATTTGAATTTGATAGAAGCGGTTGTAATTAAAACTAAGCGTGTAGTTTATCCTCAGTTTGCAATCTCAACCTCACTTTCCATAGTACCCACTCTATAACTGTTGAAATCTGTGATGTCACTACTTTCTTTCTCCTTTGATTACAAAAACTAACAGGTCTGTTGTATTACCGGTAATACCATATCGTGGTTTATATATCACAAAACACTCCTATTCTGCAACATCATCATTGTTACCTACATGTATCCTGGTTATGTTGTATGCAAAGGTTCATACTTGTCACTTGTGCCCTGAAACACCACTTAGTGGCTTTGAGAGGAGATTGTGGCGACTGTCTATGGATAACTGAATAGAAGGGTTTCAAAGGGAACCTTGCTGCTTTGGCTTTTTCTTAGAATTTGAAGTATTCTTAATCCTTGCCATTATCATTTTGACAGTATTTGTAGGAGTTGTACATCCTACAAGTGCATCCTCATGCTTGGTTACTGACATTGTTAGTTTAAGCATATGCATATTATGAGAGCTGGAAAATCTCATTCTATTTGTTGTGCTGCCTTTCCTTTTTTCGAGCAATTCTTGCTAAAATTTTGGCATGGTATGAAGCTGAATATTGTTATAGTCTGATTTAGAAGAAAAACATCATAACTTTCTCAAGCCTTTTTTCCTTTTGCATTTTCTAACAGAAGAAAGGATGGTGGACACGGAATGGAGAAACACAAGAGGCTGGTCAAGGACCCCACGGTAATTCGAGGTAAACCTGAGCTCTCTCTCTCTCTCTCTCTCATTCTCATTCTCGAACATTCACACTTCAACACTAGAATAACTGATTTTTGCAATATCACAATTCTGTCTGTTCATTTATTGATTCATTAAGCTTAATCCCTTTTGGGAAAACTGCTAAGTATGTTTATTCTTCCAATCTATGCAGTATTGTCCACACGATAAATATCCGTAGTTCTGAGAATATCACCATTGCCGGTGCAAAGTTGAAATGGCAGATGAATGGGTCCCTTTATTCTAGTTCAAAAAGTGGAAGAAGTTACATGGAATGTGTTCTTGAAACACCTTCACCTATGGAATGCAAAGAGGTAATTGAAAGTTCAATAACTACAAATGTGGGGCCTCATGATAGGACATCATCTGCTCATTATGATGAAATGCATGAAAACATTAAGAAAGATTCATTATATGGATCACGTCCTGTGGGTATTTCTAAGAAAACCTCTATTGATGTGCAAGAGAAGGTTCTTACACTGCCTGGAAGTCCAAAGGATGGAAAGGGGCAGACCATAGAATCCCTTCCCAAATCAACTGGAAAAATTGAGAGTTCTCTTGGTCTTGGGCATGCAGAGCTATTGGATACCTTGCTTGAGAAGGAAAGAAAAGAGGAGGCAACAGAGAGTTCTCTTACCTTGGGGCATGTAGAGCAATTGGATGCCTTGCTTGAAAGAGAGAGAGAAGAGGAGGCAATGGAGAGTTCTTTCACCTTGGGGAACCAGGAGCTACTGGATGCCTTGCTTGAGAGAGAGAGTAAGGAAGAAGCAAACGGTGATGGCTATGTGGATGCCTTCATTGGAAATGAGAAACAAGAAACAAATCATAATGGGTATGAAGATGTCTTTCTTGGGATTGAAAGAAAAGAAGAAAATGGGGGTGGATATGAATCCGATGATGTTGCTAGTGAGTTGGATAATTATATGGATGCACTTACCACCATGGAATCAGAAATGGAAACAGATTCTGAATATAGACCTAAGCATGATTTTGAACGTCAAGAATTGGATTCTGACACAAATGAAGAACATGAGCGGCTAGCTGGAAGTCTGCATTCCTTCTCAGAAATGGAAACAGAGTCTGAATATAGACCTAAGCATGATTTTGAACGTCAAGAATTGGATTCTGACACAAATGAAGAACATGAGCAGCGAGCTGGAAGTCTGCATTCCTTCTCAAATGAGAATTCTCTCTCTTCTCATGACTGGGAGACATTGTTAAAGAAAGACTCTTTCAGTGGTTTGGCCAATGTGCAAGAAGATCATGCTCCTGGCCTGAACTCTTTGGATGATAATCATAAAGCATCAGAAGGCATGATTTCTAGTTCAGGTTATTATAATCCTTGGTTTGAAGCTGTTAAGATTGAACCAGATTCTTTTAAGGGTGATCAACCAGTTGACCAGAGTTGCGCAATGGTGGTTTCTCCAACTGAAATCACTGATGAAAGTTCCAGGAGTAATGCTATTTCAGCCATTGAGGTTTCAGGAACGCCAGTTATCAATCAATTTAGTTCAGGTAGTGTTCAGCTGGCGCCATTGTCAACTGAAACTGTTGTGATTGAATCAGATTCTTTGCATGGTGATCACACTATTGAACAGAGTCCAGCGACTAGGGTTTCTCCATGTGAAACCACTGCTGAAATTTCCAGGAGTTTATATGGAACTGATGCCATTTCAGCTGAGATTTCAGGAAGTCCAGTTATTGATGGAGTTATTGCAAGTAGTGTTCAATTGGCAATGCCCCTGTTCATTGACACTGTTCACATTGAAGAAGATTCTTTTAGTGGTGAGCATTATATCGATCAGAGCCCAATAATTGGGGTTTCTCCAACTGACATCACTGATAGAAGTTCCATTAGTTTATCGGAAAATAATGCCATTGCAACTTCAGATCTTTCAGAAACATCAGCTACTTATGAAATTAATACTAGCAGTGTTGAATTGGCTATGCCCCATATCAGTGAACCTCCCTCCGACACTGGTGCCATTGGCGAGGGGGATACGTCTGCTGGGACTGCTGAAGATGTATCTGTTGAAAGCCCGACAATCAAATCAATGCATTCTCCACGTTCAATGAATGGTGCCTCCGAGCCACAGTCCTATGATTTCAAAATTGAGTCTGAACCTGAAAAGTGCCATGATTCAGTTGATGAGCATCTGGATTCACACCAATCATTGCAAAATTTGGACCCTTCAGATTTGGTGTCTCAGAGCCCCTCACTAACTGAGGATTATGCAAAATCTATTGATTCTGAGGGTGGCTTTTCTCCCATAGAAGCGGGCCCATCAGGGCCCTACCTGGAAATTATATCTCTGCAAGCTTCATACAAAGTTCAAGGGACCCATCTTCCCAACAAAACCTGTTTGGAGCTTGGCATGGAGGATAATGTCGAGGAACTAATGACACACACTTTGACCCCTGTGGACATGATGCCAAGTCAGTGTTCATCAACAGATGTTTCAATGGAAGCAATTGTGAGTGAGAACCATGCTAAAGTTGTTGGTTCTGAATGGGGGTTCTCTCCTATGGAAGATACTTTTACTCAATCCACTATTGTTGAAGAGACAATGATGGAACCTTTCATAGAGGGACATGAGGATGAGATGATATCAAAGAGTTCATCAACCAAAATTGTAGAGGCTGTACTTCCAATTGACGGTTATAAGAAATCTGTTGATTCAGTTGGTGGATTGGCCCCTTTAGAAGCTGAACCTTCAGATTCTACTTCCCCCCAAATTGCTTCTCCACAAGCTTCTCAGATAGAAATTAAAGAGAAAATTGTTCCTTTAGTGGAAGCTTTTGAACAAAATGAAGAAAACTTTGAGAACTTGATGGAGAAGGATTTTGGGGCCAAAGGTTTCGTATCCTCAGATGTTCCAGAAGTACGTGCCTCAGAATCCATTGATGTTGAGAAATTTGAAAAATTGGAGCCTCATGAATCTGATTCCTTGCAGCCGGAGAAACCATCCCAAGAATCACAACCAAGGGAACAAATTACTATGTCTTTGACTCCCATAAATTTCTTGCAGTTTTCTATTGATTCCACTGAAAGAAATCAAGAACCAGTCTTTGAGGCCCCTCATAAAAGTGAAAAGGATATCCCCCCATCTCCTCCTAAACACACACAGCCAGAAATTCTTCCAGCGAATGATACCAGGTCAGAAGCAGTTCAACAATCTAGTTTTTTGCCCTTGCCTAATGAGGAGCATATAGATCTTAAGTTTGAAAGGTTGCATCTCTCGGGAGAATCAGGTGCTCTTGATAACTCTGAGAAAAGGTTCTCTAAGGTTTCTTCTGAGGCTTCTTCAGGTTATAATTTCAGTCAAAGAGCAGGATATGAGCATCTACCCTGTGATGGTTCTCAGATAGCTGCAACCAAGGACTTTGAGAATGCTACGGTAGCATATTCATCAATGATATTCACATCATGTTCTTCATTGGATGAAGTTGGTTCTCTCTCTTCTCAACCTAACCTTGATGTGACCATACCACAGAAAACACCCCAAGAAGAATATAATGAGATTGGTACTTCATCACAACATTGGGTCAATCCCAGACTAAACCAGCATTTTTTGGAATTTGTATTACCAGATGTTAAAGTTCTAGGAGCTGGGGTAGAAGAAATGCCACCTCTCCCACCTCTTCCTCCTCTTCAGTGGAGAACTGGAAATCCCCAGTACAACTCTCTGACTTCTGAGAGAGAAGATGAACATATTCCTAACCTTTCTGCATCTCCGCCGAGCATAGCAAAGTCTCAGCTGAACTCTCTAACTATGGAGTGGGAAGCTGAACACATTGCTAACCCTTCTGCATCTTCACTAGATTTGGCAAAGCCTCAGTTGAATTCTCTAAATTTGGAGGGAGAAGTTCAGCTTATCCCAGAACATTTTGCATCTCCAGCTGATGTAGCAAAGCCTGAGTCGAAATCTATGGATTTAAAGGGAGAAGTCAAACATATCCCGGACCTTTCTGCATCGCAGCAAGATATAGCAAAAACTTGGTTGAATTCTCAAACACTTGAAGGAGAAATTGAACCAATCCCAAACCTCTCTGCATCTCAGTCAGAATTAGCAGAAAGTAAGATGAATGGTGGTTATCTTCCACTCGGTTTCTCAGTGCAGCGACTCAAACGTGGCCAACAGAAGGATCCTCTGATTGAGGCTGTAGCGTCTCATGACAGGAGCAAGGTACTTTTTTTTTTTTCTCCGATTCTTCATCTGTTTGTTTGGGTGTTTTCTTATTTATGAGTCAAAGTTTTCTGGTGCTTAAAATTATTAAAAAGAAGAAAACAAGACTGAATTAATAGGTTCCAATGCTTAACTTTCATTTATTGTTGCAGTTAAAAAAGGTTACGGAACGATGTGAATCTGGGAATAGGCAGAAGGTGAATGAAAGGGATGTTCTCTTGGAGCAAATAAGAACCAAGGTGGGAGTTGAATCGCTCCTCTCAATATATAATAAGTTTTCTATGGTTTTTAAGCTAAGTAGGCGGTATTATATTTACCCATAAAAAGAAGTATATACAAAAAAGTATATAATATTATACTATAGTCACATGGGAAAGAGTATTCTTGTAGTCCAATGGGGTTAGCACCATCCAATGAAATGACAGATGGTGATAAAGAGGGGGATCCACCATTAAGGTCATGTCCTAGTTTGTGAGGTTTGACTCTCTCTCTGTCTCTGTCCATTTTATTTGATCATGACAATCCTAGTGGATGTTGATTCTTAGTAGTTGTATGGATTACATTATGCTTTCCATTAATCCAAATGTCATGGGCAGTTTCTAGATTATCTACTGTTTTTATAGGTGGAGAAATGCTAAACCTGTTCTAGTTTTCTGTGTATTTAATGTACTGATTATGGGAAATGTGTTTAACTTCCAGTCTTTCAATCTGAGACCCACTGTGGCGACGAGACCTAACATTCAGGTTCCCACAACGAATATCAATGTCGCAGCTATCTTAGAGAAAGCAAATGCAATTCGCCAGGTTGGGGTTTGACTTAATTGATGAATTCTGTAATGATGATCCAGTGGCGTATGAATTCAAGGTCCACTGGGGTCATCACTATCCAATGAAATGATGAGGGGCTCACAGTTGGGATTTTGTCCTGAGCTGGTGGATCCTGCTCTTTCTTATTCATCATCCATTTCATTGGATTTTGTCCTGAGCTGGTGGATCCTTCTCTTTCTTATTCATCATCCGTTTCATTGGATGGGAGATGGGAATGATCTAATAAACCATGAACCATGAATTTCCATAGTCCAGCGGCCTATATTAATCCAGTGATATTGCTGTCTAATAAAATGCCAGATTACGATGGAGAGTGGGACGCACCATTGGATCATGTCCTGTTCTGGTCGTTCCCACTGTCTCCTTTACCATCAATTGTAAAGTTGAGTGGTAATGACTCCAATGGACTATGGTTTTCTATAATGTGTTGGACTATGATGGATTATATCATATGCCTCAATTGTTTCTGGCATTGTACGAAATAAGAGCATTGCATATTTGGGATAGTAAATCATATACAGCTAGGTATGTTATTCCTCTGCTGAAAAATCGTAAAAAACTGATGGCTTTGACGTGAGGAATAAAATACCCCAGCGTTCACTGTTCACATATAATGCTTCGTTGGGTGTGATTTACTGTCCCTCAAATGCAATGCTCTCGGTGTATGTTTTTGCTCCTTGATTACTGAATGACTACTCTTTCGGCTCTGTCTAATGAAACTTTTATGAAATTTGTGGGGTAAAGGCATTTGCTGGGAGTGATGAAGATGATGATGGAGATAATTGGAGCGACACTTGAATGGTAGTGATTTGCAAACGAAGGAGCATTGAGGTCTCTCATTTTAGGTGTTTTTTCCTGTGAAAAAGATCTTCACCAGGGGATGATGCACAGTGTGAAAGATGTCCACAGATCAAAAAGGCCTACATTCCGTGAGGTCCCCTTATCAGTCCATATAAATGTATATTTAAGGTTTTGGTAGAAATTTAACCGTTTTTCCCCCCTCAACCTGTATTTGGATCTTGCATCCAAGCTGCCAGAGTATGTAATTTTGTATTATAAGGAAAACTAAGAGCAAAATCAAATATGTCCTCAACAATACCAGGTCCGCCCATTGTTTGATTAGAAAGATTCACAGATATCTTCGAATACTGAATGCTCAATTGGCAATCCATCACAAGCTTTAACAAGATTTCACACCACACAATGTTGGAATGCAGCGGAATCAATAAAGAAGTTAAACAATACAGGAATCGGATGGAGGTTACCAACTTCTCTGAATATAATTTCTCTTTTTTTAGTTTCTATTATTCCCTTGTCATGTCGCAAGAGTTTTATGTGGTCATTGTAGGTCTCCCACTTCATTATTAGAACTAGAAAGATGGTGCACAGCAGAAATCCCGAGCCTTGATAGATGCTTGAGAGCTCTCACATGTCAGGAGGGGTATATTCTAGGGATTTTTGGAAAAGGAAGAGGGATGCGGGTTTGTTCCCACTTTTAGAGAGAGTTAAGGTCTGGAAGAGAGGCCTCAACGGTACTGGACTTTCTTTACATCCTCTATTTTAATGAGGTTTCCTCTCTTCTGATTCTCTCCACATGTGGTTATCCAATTAATGGCATTTATCTATTTTAAGTCATTTGGATAAGATTTCAACCAACCATCTCTATATAAAATATTATCTTTCCTCAACTTTCAAAAATAATCTAATCCCATGGAGGTCTGCTCACCCAAGTTCAATACCTCCTTCCACCCCCTGTAATAGGTGCACATAAAGATGTATTTCCCTAACCTCAAGCGGTGATACATTAGATACAAGAACTCTCACACGCTGCATCGTGAGACCACAAAGAGCAATACATCTATGCAGAAAGAAACACATTGAGTTTCTATCAAACTAATATGAAACACCTTTTCTCTCATATCCAAATGAGCTCTAGCGTGCCCTAGACATTTATCTGCACCTGATTTAGTATCTCTTCTAATCCTCGTACCCCTCTATATAGAGTAATAATGGTCTTATTATTACATGCCATGGTATAAATAGATTAAAATAGTAGGATTCACGTTGAACACCATGTAGGTCTTAGTTCAATTGCAGTAATGCGTCTTGTTACATCCAGTGTGCTCAGGGTCGAATCTAAAAAACTACCTGAACACCCCGATGTTCACACTTGACTATAATATACGCTACATAATCTAGTGGGATGTCATATAAATCACATCGATTTCCATCACGATATCTCATCAAGGCGCTACTCACATACCCCCTGATGTGTCTCATCATCATCCACTATCCCGACTTTGAGGACGGTCAATACTATGCGAGTGGGGGACCAAGCCTGGCAATGCTTCATCTTACAATGACCATACGTCCTAAAGTGTGAAGGTGCATCCAAGCCATGTATAGGCGCATTAAAAAAATTATAATATCGTAAATTAATTAATTATCATCCATTTATAGAAAGGTTCAGTCAACGTCCATGGCACAAAAAAGCAACTAGGGACTCCCAGGTCCCAATTCCTTTATGCATGCCAGATACCTCTATCAAGCTATAGGATCACTCATTGGGTCTGCTACCACTCTGCAAGTGGGAATTTATGACATGATTGTCTCTTCCTCTTAATGACACCTCGCACATAGTGATATCTAATCTTTACGTGCTATGTCTTAATGTCATACTTGAGATCCTCTGCGAAAGTCAATTATGCCATTTTTGCGAAAGTCAATTATGCCATTTTTTCTGAAAACACAATCGAAGGCTCTCTAATACTCAATATGATACATAAGCTATGCAGGTTCCTCATGAGTCATAAGCCCTTCTGCAATGCTGCACATCAATCCATATACTCCAATTCTAAATTGGACATGCGACCATTTCTTTTTCTTGTTGCACCGAGAAATTGCACTCCCGAAGTGAAGTCATTTTGCGATGTCGACAATCTATAATCTAGATCACCCATCCAATTAGACTTACTCTATCTTCACAATTGGAGATAGCTTTCCAAAAAGATCCACAAGTAGTTAATAGTTCTATGGATATATCAAAGTATTTTGCTTAAGACCTATCAATATTCCAAACCTATAGTGCTCTGCTAGCTACTTTACAAGTCCTACGGCACATCGATTTTGCATGATCTTAATATCAAGGGCATGATGCACCTTGCCCATGTCCCACATGAAAATTGGAGGACAATCACTACCCAGTGGCATTGACCATCTCCTTATCATTTCTTTCCATTTGGATCCTGTTAATTCATAATGATAAGATCATGAAACTCCCACTGTTATTGATGATAGGTCCATTCAAGAAAGATCAACTGAACAGCTGCGTGGTCAAGTTCTGTTGCCTAATTCACTATAATGGCAAATGTGAGGCGAATTAACATCATTCTCACCACTAGGGAGCACGTTTCAGCATTGTCTAGATGCTCAATTCAGTGAACCCTTCCTCCACTCTTTGGTTCTTTGCGCTTATTTATAGTTTAATCAGTCCTCTTAATTTTCAGGACCCACTTATTCCTAATGGCCGTTTAAGAGAAATTTACAAGTTTCCATAGTCAATATTCTCTATAAAAACTAATCTCTTACTCTAGTGAAGCAATCCAATTGCCAGCAATAAGTGATCTCAGGGCTTCCTGATACAAATCTGGTTCATCCTCATCAATGAAATGCAGGTCAGACTTTCTCCCTCAATTCCAAAGCATCTTTTGACGTTTCTGATACATGCATTCCTATGCTGCTCAAAAAACAATAGTGGCTTACTCATAATGTCCCCCATAACCATTATGAGTAATCTCGTGGAGGAATCTTGAATGCTCCTACTATCGTCCTCTCGTGGAGGACTCTCTTCACCATTTTTTATTTGAGATCCAAGCATATCACATAGATCTGGAGTCATCCAATACCACCTCATGCTTAAGAACTTCTACTCAACTCCAAATCATGAAACTCAACTTTCTCTCAGGACCCTCTTTACACTCATAACTAAGGATAATCCCATTAAAATTTTCAAAACATCTAAAGAGTTTTTATACTTTCGACTTTCTAATTTTGTTCATTAGAAGATGAAATAATGAGAACAATTGACGTACAATGACAGAAAGGAACATATATGGGGTTTCTAATTGGACGGTAACTTCTTAAGGGGCTTTCAGACATATTTTGAAGGTACCTTATTCAAGATGCATAGAGTAATAACCCGAGCATATCCCAGGAGCTCACACAAAGACCGTCTTATGCTATCATGGATAACACCATGTCCAATGGGGTACAATTTCTTTTATATTCAACATCGCAAGCCTATGAGAGAATTGTCCATGATTTTATACTCCATAGACATATAACACCATGATCCTTAGAGTACTGTCTTAGACATTTCATAGTCTATGCTTGCACTTCATGTCAGTTTTGAGGACTATAAATCTCTTCCTTGACTAGGTATCAATCTCCAACTTAAATCTTTTAAAGCAATAGGTTGCCTCTTATTCAAGTGATATTAAATATACTTATTGATGGCTTGAAAACTCACGCTTTACTTTGTTGCATGGTCTTATCACAATAGGGACCACATATGTTTGGTTAAAAAATATCTAGTAGCTCTCGTGACCTCCAGGGCTTTAGTCTTATACAAATCACACCGTTTTTATTTAAAGAAAGTTTATATAAGGGTGAGGCCTTAAAGAATATTAAGACGTGCCTCAATGATTCACTAGAAGAGGTTGTTTCGATGCCTAAAAATCCTCAAATCGATCATCTCGACCTCAAGATGTATGGACATGAGAAAAACTGGATATCAAGTCTTGAAAATACTGCATCTTGTAATGTATTTTTTGGACCATCAATTTTAAAAAATTTAAGTGTTCATAGATCTGCTCGATCAATAGTAAAGCTTTAAGTATTATAAATATTGAGCTATCCCAAAAATTTTCAGTACTAAAATATCTTTCGACTCTATTTGAAGCTGCACCTTACTTTGATTGTTTAGGGTCTCATCCATATACAAATCACACCCTTTATTTTACCTCAAAATTATAATACTTCCAATCATTCTAAGAACGGTGCAGTTGGCATACAGATGCATCCGTTGGTGTAGAGGAAAGGTGCACCTTCAAATTTTATCATGGTATATAATTTTGATGTAAAATGTCTTAGGATTATCTCAAAATCTTTTTTTATATCTAATTATAAAATTTTAAATTACAAAGTAGATCTATAAACATATGAAAATCTTGAAAATGGATAGTGTAGATAATATGTTGTAAAATGTAAACTTAAAATCTTTTTATTTTTCATAGTCATACATCTCGATGATCAATCAAAAAGTTTTTCAACATTAAAACTACCTTATGGATTTTTAAAGGGCATCCGTAGCTCTAAATTATAAGGTAGCATCCTTATATAAACTTTTTCCTTCTAAGAAACTAAGGATCATTTACCTTTTCCACTAAGACAGTATAGTAACAGTAATTTGACTATCACCAAGTAAGTCTGACAATCATTAGAGCACAATTGGTGAGAGGGAAGACCGATTAAGACTTGACAATGTCCATATCATTTATTCATCATCTTAAAAAGTACATCTTAAAATTTTATCATGAACGGATTGAACCAATTAATAGGTCATCTATGAACAATTCCATGAAAAAATTCCACATTTTGAATACAAAAACCCTTCAAATCTTCACCCACATTCCATCAAAACCTTGAGATGCTTCCACCTCATATTAGAAAGAGAACCTCAGGGCCCCAATCTCAATTCATATTTCTACATTGCACACGGATCTCTCCTTGAGATCCAATAAAGAGGACTTATATTCCCCATTTTCACCATGGAGTTAGCAAAGTCATTCCAAAATGGCCTAGGGAAACTAGCATATTGCCTCACAATAGCATCAGCCGAGCCACCATTGAAGAGCTCCTAATCAGAGTGAATCAGCCCTCTCCTTTGCATCAAGTCACTAAAATAGCGTGCATCAAGATGTGCCCATCCAATGGTGCCAAGTTGTTGTCTTCACCAGATGCAGGACATGACCCTCTTCTCAAGCTTGCAAAGGCTTGATCGATGATGGTGTTGTTGTTTTTGCGACTATGGAACTTCATGCACCGAGCACGGCCGATCGTGTGGCCACCGGAGAGGGCGACGAGATCACGGAGGTTGAGACCCTTGCTT